GCGGTTCTGAAAGCAATGTGATTATAACAGCTTTAAAAGACAGGACAGTCTGTAATTAGCAGAGGGTTTTTCCTGATAATTACATTAACCTTTAGTTGAATGYTACTCAACCCAACACAGTGTTATTTTTATGGTCCCCTACCAAAGTATGCCTCTGTAGGATTGTGAATCTGTCTTGGTCAATGGAAATTTCCACATCCTCTTGTATTTCCAGCAAGGGCCTTGCTTTGGTCAAGTGCCACCCTGCGCTGTGCCTGTAAGGTTTTACAAACAATGACCTCTCTGGCTGGAGGGAATCCAGCCCTGATAGTAGCATTTTCAGTCATTCTTTCCTTGTGCAATGAATGAAGAATGAAAAATGCAGCTATTCACGGAAGCGGCTTTGTCTGATAGTAACGACCTGGGTACTAATGTAGCAGTTTGTCACACGATATGTTCTGTATATTGTTATTTTCCATAGTGTTTGTTTGCCTCTCTGTTTTCCAAATACAGAACTGCATAAAATGTWCAATAGAACTCTAGACATTCAGAGAAAACAGGAGCCACGACTATAGCAGAAAACAGCTAAGCTGGATAAATATGCAAACATTCCTCATAAAAATCCAATTAAGAGATTAGCTGCRCAAATACACAAAAGTTCATGAGAGGTGGTCTGGCACTACAGATTCTTCCTTTGCTCATTTAATCTGATTAAGCTCATTCCATATAACTGCAGTCTTCGATGCAGTAAAATAGCACTGAAACTTAGCTCGGTCCAGGTACCAGTTAAAATTTCATGGGTGCACTTATGAAAACAGAGTATTCTCTCAGAACAAACTGAGTGGTCAAAGCACAGAAAAGTTATTTTTATTAGAAATACAATTAGAAGAGATAAACCTTTGCCCAATTTTGTCTGGATTTCCTTCAGAATTATTAAAATTATAATCCTGATGTAGATATCTGAGTAAGAGAAAGGAACATCAACTGAAATAGTCCTGTAARCTGCTGAGAGGAGAAGCAATCCTTGGTGATTCGGGTCACCAAGCTTTGGGGATGTTCTCTGATTTTCCTTGGCCTCAGTTCCCTACCAGATAAATGGSCATGTCTTCTTTTCCTCCATCTTGTTTTTGTGTTCAGACCAAAATGTTCTTGGGTTAGTCAGCTGTAGACCTCTGGGTTGGGTTCTCAGCAGAACTTCCATGTGCCAGCATAACACTGTGATAGCTATGTCAAAATAAAAAGGGGGATTCTCCATAATGTTCAAACCAACATAATTCTCTCACTGTTTCTTCTTTGTTTTATAAACGCACACATTTGGAAGTCTCCCAATTTAGGTGTGTGAAATGTTCCTGCTCCAAGCCCAGGTACCCTATTCCAGGCACCCAGAGCTGAATATAGAGGTTCAAATGCTCACCGGGGATGGAAAGATGGGAAGTTGCACACCAAATTGGAGRCTCCTCTGGAAACTAGGATACAGGGACTGTGCCAAGTGATGCCCCTGGTCAGTACCTACTTAATTTCTCAATTAACAACCGAAGGATTTTTGTCACACAGCCACTTAGTTCATTAATAAAAACACCACTTTCAATGAATGAATTCCAGTAATGATAGTATCCATTCTCTATTAATTTTTGTTTCTCTGCTGGTTTACTTTTTTGCATTACATCTAATTTTTCTTCAGCTGAATGGATACTTTAGTTGTATTTCCCTCTTTTAATAATATTCTTTATCTATTTTTTAACCTGTAACTTGAAGGCTTCCTGGATGTCTTCAAAATTAATTATAAATAGTTGCTATTTTCTCAATTCTGTGCTTAATATCTTTGAAAGTGACAGAAATAWGGTAATCAAGGGAGCAGTATCTCCATCTCCCATGGCATGGTAGGCTGAAGAGAGCATGGTAACTTATGAGTGGAAATTACACCACTTAACATCAAACCTTGAAGTCAGGTTTCTAAATTCATGTTTACTGGGGAAAACAGGACACTTCTGGTGGATGAATCAGCTCTGCTATATTGAACACTCTGTTAAATTGAACTCTGCTACATTGAATACTGGATGAACAGCATCCTGGAAGTATTTATTTCATTTTAATGACTATAGAAGGAGTCTGAATGAGTAGCTCACAGTCATCTTCATCATAGACATTCAGAGTTGACTAACATGAATCCTATGCTGAATATCCTGAGTTCCAGAAACTTCAGGAACACCCCTAGTCCTGGAAGGTTGGAAGACTTACAACCCAATACAAAAATCTCAGGTTATTCAGCAGCTTTTCCAAATATTTTCCTTRTTAACAAGTCACAAACTCATAGTCTTCTGCTTCAAACTTCTGATGAGCTCAGCACTTCAAGGCTGGAGTATGGCAGTTCTCCTTCCTGCTGTGTAGTCACACACCTTGAGAAGGAAAGGACCTCCTACTGCTTTACTTTCTGAGATGTAGTCACACACCTTGAGAAGGAAAGGACCTCCTACTGCTTTACTTTCTGAGATAAAAAAAANAAAAAAAAAAAAAAAAAAGGCTGTTCTGTGCTATTATGACTAGATGGTAGAGAAATAGAAAACTGTAGGGGATTCCCATGCTCTGGTGTACCTGGGTCATGTCATGACAGCTTCCACCTGGAGCACTTCCTATATCATCCCTTTCCTCAGTCTGTTTTCTCCTCCAGTCTGGGTATGTGTTCTCTGAGTTTAATTTTAATTCCAGAGGAAACCCCTTCCAGAGGCAATAGAAGAAGGTACACCTCTACAGACACCAAGTCAGAATGTGTAAATAACAGTCTCCTCTGAGGCCCCAGCTTGGTCTTTTCCAGACTGGATAGAGGGTGAGGAGGTCAGATCAACCTTCCTGAGGCTGAAGGTGGTTTCTCATCTCKGTGGGAAAAGGTCCTTGAAACAGGAGCAGTCTATATTCAATTTAGCAGTCTTTTGTCTGCCAAGCCAGAGCCCCTGATCTGTGTAGCACTTATCTCAGCTGCTGTCTCGGGCAAAAAAAGCAACAGAGTGAGCTGTCATCCACAGCTGTGAGCAGAACCAGAATAAGCAGTAACTTGTCACCTAAATCTTCCATTACTGGAAAAATGGTCTTCATGAGGTGACCCTCTTCTTTCATTTGCAGAAATCTGAACGATTTTAGAAGGGTTTTGATGGATGTTATATCATTMTCACCACTGTATTTAATCAGATCACTTTTCAAAGCTGAAAGACCTCAAATCAACAAAAGATTAGATAAGATAGATAATTTGTCACAAATGCTTTCTCATATGAAGAAACAACTTGAATCCACAGCACTCAGGTTAAAATCTGGAATTTCCAAAGCAGAAACAAATTAAACTGTGGTGCCTCTAACTACCAATTTAATGTTATTAAAGAGTTTGATAGAGAAGTTTATATTTAGTTTATATCTTTATATGAAAATGATAGATCTTCACCCAAAGCAATAGCACGGAAAGCCTTCAGAAGGCCAAGTTTGCAGAGTTTCTATGAAATACCACAGGATGTACGCTGTTAGATCAACAATTTCAAGGCTGGAGAAATGTTGCTGTGATATCCCTCATTTTCCATCTCTACAGAACTTTTATTGTGACTGAAAAGGGCATTGGGCTTCATGGTTTATATATATAAGACCACGCATAAATAACAGCACWGCTAGAAAAGGGTATCCATGGGATAAATTTGGGCTTCACAGAACAGCAGGAAATCATTGCAGATAGATCTGGCTGATAACAATAAATCTTCCCATAAAGTTCATACAAGGTCTTTTGTCTTTCTCTTCATCTTTTCCTGAAGTAAGAAAATATCATGTTCTAACCCCTAACATTTCCTGGAGTACATGGAATTGCAACACAAATGCCTATTTCGTTTTTTTCCCTCTATTTTTGTTTCTTTTAAACTTTGAAATAGCATGGAATGTGTCCCAAAATACTACACTCCACCTAAAGCTTTTCACATATTAAAAAAATCTTTGTAGTCAGTTTATCACTCTAGAAATTTACATCAACATCATAAAATAAATGTCATTATTCCAGTTACGAATCACAGGGATATAAACTTCATCTCCAATGATATGTTGTACTTCTGGTCAAAAAGATCTAAAAGTTTTTTCCATAGGTCCTAGTTATTCAAGCCATGTCAGGAAAAGTATTTTTTTTAAACAGAATAAAATCATAATTATGGTGATTTTCATAGAAGGAAAAATGGAAACTGAGAAATCATATCAAAAACTTAGGAGGGTTCCTCTTCAAAGGTCCTTAGATATCACTGACTAAGAAATTAGTTCAAACAGTAATTTTCATGTCTCATACTTATTCATTGTAAAGCCCTTGCTCAGAAACACCTAAGTTCTCCCCRTTTTGTCCAGTTTTGCTCCCCACCACATTTTTATCTGTGTGGTCATACATGACACACCATATGGCAGGCATTGCACAACTCCTGACAGACAACAGAAGCAGGAAGGAATCACTGGGATCTTGGAAGCAGCAGAGCAAGAAACGTGGCCATGGGGAGAAGGGCTGTGTAGACTCCCAGTGTTGGAAACACAACCTGCACAGCTGCCAAGTTGTAGGTGCCCACACAARCATGTGCTAAATGGAACCTTATCTCTCCATTGTACCATGAGCAATTTTTTCCCTTTTATCTGGATTTTTATCTCCATGCTAGAACTCATTCAGTTCTTTTACAAAGACAATCCTTGGATAGGATTCAGATTCAAGCTGCTTGGTTTTGTTTATTTTCTCCAGACAAAGCCTTTTTATAAGTGTGCAGGCATTACACAAGACTCCTTCTTTTTCTAAATTTTYACTGAAGTCAAATGTCTTTGTACTTTCCAATTAGGCAGCATCTGCACTTCAGGCAAACTATGAGAGTGTAACTCTCTAGCACCCAAAAATGTGAGCAGGATGCTACCATCACTTTTGGAGAATCAGACCAAAATATACCCTAGGTCTTGAAAGTATATGCCAGCTGAATTAGATAAATAACTTCAGATAAACAATGTTGGCATGTATACATCTGCTGATTAAGTTGTATAGTCCAAAGTTAAAGAAGGTAATCAGAAATAAACCATTTATAGTTTGGATAATCCAAAGTATACATGCTTTAATTGACCACCACTGAACGTGTGGTGTGAAACTGAGTTCAGTCCATGATGTGTCATTGCATTCCYGGTTTGGGCGTTGGTACAGAATGGACTAGAAGCATCTGCTTTGAATTTGATCTTGCTACATTTCTCATTCAAGAGGGAACCTCTCAGAASCCTGAGGGTAGCAAGCAGTACAAAATAGCCTAAATGCATCATTACAACAGTGTGTCCCAGGAATAGGCCCTTTCTCTGARTATGCAGTCACCTACTGCATGTTATTATGACAGCAACAGCAAAGAAAAATTACAGAAAAGCCTCAAAAACACCTCTGTGACCCTATTCCCAGCATGAACCATTAGTCTGATAATCAGTGTATCAGTGAATTGCATCACTCAGCAAATAAAGATTTTGAAGCATTTTTGAAGCATTTTGAAGCATATGTGTTGTGTCTTGCTATCAAGTAAAAGACAACAGTCTGTTGCTTCTTTGTTTTATTGTTTTAAATCAACAGGTTTTCTAATGGCTYTGTAAAAGTACAGACTAAGTTATTCAAATGTTTCTGAGAATATTCTTGTTCTTTTCCAAGTCACTTGACAATTAAATGCCGTAGAAATGTCTCAGAAGTATTGAAGCTCAAAAGTCATAGAAAGATTAGAAAAGGCAACAAATACTTAAACCAGGTTTACAGTGCCTGTAAATTCCTTTACTATAATTTTAGTAATTTTAATTGAGATTAAAAATCACTATTTTAAAGAAAYAGCTATTCCTTAATTGTCAAAAGTACCTCATTCAAATCCTCCAACTAGGTATGTATTTGTTAGATTAAAGCCACAAGGAACAGGTGTACATTCAGAAAATATAATCTTATCTTTGATATAAAACAAGTTTCCCAGAAAATTATCCAGTCATGAAGATAACAATAGAWGTGGAATTCCCCAATTCCTGTGACATATCTATCCAAATAGCCATCCACAATATAAATGTGTCTCTGTCATTAAAGGTTCTTACTGGATACAGGAGCAACTTTTTCCCTACGAGATCAAAATTGAAGCAAATTCCCTRAGGAATCTGTGCTTTCCATCCATGCAGGTGTTTTAGACTCGACTGGATAAAACCCTGAGCAACCTGGTCTGAGATCAGAGTTGATTCTGCTTTCAGTAGGAGGTTGGACAGGTGACCTCCTGAGCACCTTTCCAGTCTGAATTATCCTGTGATCTTATGACACTATAATCCCAACATTAATTTCCCTGTCTGCAGCTTCCAGGCATTGAGCTTAATTAGGCATTTGCCAGCTACTAGGCTTACCYCTGCTAAATTATATCTTACTGGAGTGCTCACCCCTGGCCACCAAGGGTTTTCTCACTCCTGGCCCTGCAGCAGGAGATTTCCAGGCTCCCAAACTGCCTGTTGGTGAACCTTGGAAAARCTCTCACCTGCATAACAAGCCAGAGCAGAGCCACAGACCTTCTTCACTCCTTGCCAGGCAGACTAGCACAAATACGTTTTACCAAAAAAGCACACCGCAATATCCAGGCTGCCCTATGCCCAACTGCAAGCAACTAACTGAAAAAAAAAAAAAATTATATTGTTTAGTTATTCAAGATCAGCTATCAAAGCTAATTCAGATACAARATTAAGAATAAGGGATTCTTCAAGCCATGATAGACAATCAAGCAAATACATGACAAGCTTTCATATTAAAATATAAATGGTGAGAAAGTTTTGAAAATGAGATGACAGAGTTGTGAATCACCAGAAATGAAATTATATATTTCMGATTATTTTGTTAAAAATTGCAATAGAATTCAAAATAAGAGATTTCTTTCAATTAAGAAGCTAGAAAAAATCATAGTAGAAAAAGTGGGGAAAAATATGAGAAAAGTTRATGTGTTCTCTTTTATCTGTAACAGACATTCTTTAATGTTTTGGAGAGAGCAATTAGGCTAAGTACATTAAATCTAGTGTTTAATAAGATTTTTAAGAAGTTAGGAAGTCTGGAAAGAGATAAATGAGTCTAGACAAAATATCCCTGTTTAATGTGGTTATTTTTGCCACCTATTAAGGATGTGACTTGCAGTGACCAAGCCCTGTAATGATTTCAGCATGATACAGAGCATCATTTGAATGAAAGAACTCAGTTGTTTGAACTTTGGGCTGTATAATAGTCCCTTTCATAGTGAAGAGTGTTTAATGCATTGAAATTAGTTTGAAGAGAGAAATTGTCCCAGTTCCCATTTTTTTTTCTATTTATTTTAGGCCTTCTAAGGAATTCAGGAAACCCCACTTAGAAAATAGGAAAAAAATCTGATCACACTTAAAATACATATTATAGTCAATGCATCGCACTACTTTGGTAATTACAGAGTTAATATCTACATTTCCTGCTGACAGTTTGGTAAAGCATTCCACACAGCTATTACAAGGCACAGATTTTCAGTGTGAAGTTTTACGTTTCAATCATGGAGAAGTAAGAAGTAGAGCTGCTATACATCACTCAGGATGAGGTCAGTAGTGCCATAGAAAAAGGAAGTTGACATATCTCTGTCAGAAAATATGGCTCAAAATCTGATCAGGAAAAACCYTAAGTAAACACGAATGAGAATTTATTAATCTGCTCCTTCCCACTCCATTTCAGTGGTGTGATCCATCATTTCTAAAGAAGCACCATCATTWTTTTGGAAATTTTATGGTTCCTCTGTGGGATTTTTGGTGCAAGATCACAGTCCCAGATAACAACACAGTGTTCACCTGGTTAGATCTTCCAAAAGGCCATGAGTGTCTCATAGGTCAGAATGAAAAATCTTCCTGTCATTCTTTGTCATTCCTTGTAGCTTTACATCTGACCTGAAAAAAATTTCAGGGAGGGAGAAGAGCTGTAATATGGCTATCATATTGGGACAAAGTTCTGCTCTTATTTTTCCATCATCTCTTTAAAAGCTTTGCAGAATACAGCAGATAAACAGGATTTCCTGTAGAAAATGCTGATCCAAACCAGGCAGAAAGAACACCCCTTTTTGTTACCATGGGTACCCTTGGAGAGCTTTCTGCTTCATACAGTGCTGCAATACCATACCACTGACACCAMCATGCAAAAAGCAAAAGATAACAGAAGGAAGAGAAGATACTGTGGGCATGCCATCCAGACAATGAGCCCCACCACTCCATCCCCCCAAAACCTCCAAACATCCCCAGTACAAATAGTTTGTCCCTAAATGATAAACTTAAAAGGTCACTGTTGAAAACAGGAAAATARTCTTCAATATGTGGTGAATCATACCATATTTCAACCATATGCTGATTCCTAATAAGTTGAATTCAAAAATAAACTATAAAATATATAATAAAAYATAAACCATAAAAGCTCATTAAAAGAGAAACAAGAACGGTATGTCTCATTTCTCCTCCTTYTTTATTTCTGATTGGCAACTTAAGCATTTCCTCCTTTACTAGAACTAAATGCTACAGCATTTAAATTTTTTTTGCTGACTTTCCCCTGGGACATGAATAATGCTTTTTCATTGCTTATCTTGCTTATCAAAGTATTTTCACTGTGGCTGTTTAAATTCTTACTTCTTCAGTCTATCTCATCAATATTCTCCCCCTGTACTTGTCACTGGTRAGGCAGAACCTCAAATATTCTGCTCAGTTTTGGGCCCTTCACTATAGGAAGGGCACTGAGGTGCTGGAGTTCACAGAAGGAAAATGGTAAGGTTTGGGAGCACAAATCTCAGGCTCAAGGAGAGGCTGAGGGAACTGGGTTAAACAGTCTGGCAAAAAAGGTGTCTCGGGGAAACCTTACCTCTCTGAACAACTATCTGACCGGAGGCTGCAGCAAACGGGGAGTCTGTCTCTTCTACCACATAATAAGACCAGAGGAAATGGACTCAAGTTGCACCAGGGGAGGTTTAGATAGGCTGTTATCAAAAAWTTCTTCACCAAAACAGTGTCAAGTGTTGGAACAGGCTTCCCAGAGAAGTGGTAGAATCACCATCCCTGGAGGTATTTAAAAGATGMSTAGATGTGGCATTTCAGGACCTGGGTTACTGGTGGGCACAGCAGTGCTATATTAACAGTTTGACTGAATGGTCTTAAAAGCCTTTTCCATCCTAAACAATTCTATGATTCTATTGTAAGAACAGGAGAAATGTCTTTGACAGCAATCTTAACAGACAAAAGAGAGAAGAATCATACCTGGATCATATGGAATTTCTCTGCTCAGTCCAGATCTTATGATTTTTGTAACATGCATATTAACTGCTGATCTGGACTAGGTTTCCTTTTGTTCAGACATGATTGCTCCATCTGAAAATCTGGACAAAGCTCTTCAGTAATAGTCACAAGAACCACCACAGATTTAAACCCCAATATTGGCCTCCCCTGCCCCCCATGACTACCAGAAAGGGACAAATTTTACTGACTGTAGAGAAACAAAATCAGAAGCTCAACAAAAATCCAGGAACACAGCACAATAMTGTCCATTCTCAGCATCAGTAACAACACTGTGCCATGGACAATGTTCTCCAGATCAGGCTTCTAGGGCGCTGAGTAAAAAATCCAGACTCTGAAAACTCACCTATAATGATCAAGACTTTGGAAGAAATTTTCAGGGTCACAACTTTTGAAGTACTCTAGATGASATTAAGGAGGATTCATATTACTTGAAAGATACGCAGGATATTCCTGAAAGTCACTGCATGCTTTCTTTACACAAAGCCTGTRGCTTTACGCATGGGGAAATCAAATCTGTGCACTGCAAAAGGCTAAAATATTTTYGGCTTGAAATTCAGCACAGAGTTTGTACGGCAAGAAAAGAATACTGCACAAATCAGGTGTAAAAATGAGTATTCTGAAATCAGTGTTGCTTCTGAGTCGTCTCACACTCCAGTTGGGTAAAATGAGAGTAGACAAGCAGATATAGACTGGCTCATTRCTCAGATTTGAGGAATACCTGCATTAAAAAGTTATTTACTCTCCTCACTCTCACCAACCATATGAGGAGGATTAAAATCCAAATGCTAATTTTCAGCTTATGAGAGTAATGCTTTTTTACAATATTCAGAATTGGGTTCTTTTCTGCTTGGCTCTTTGACACATCAGTGCAAAAAAATAGCTGTTTGGAAGGGGAGGGGAAGAAGTACAGTCAAAAATAATAGATGGAAAGGGTAGTTCCTCAAATTTCAATGAAAAAGCAAATTTCATGGCTAAATTGTCTATATCTGTTTGCAAGTAAGTCAAAAATAATGAAGATCTAAGGGATCTTATACTGTATTTTCTTTAGCAATGCTGATCTTGCAAATTCTAAAAGAAAAAAATCTTTCTTGCTTTGTCCACCCTTACCCAGCCAAATACAGTTTCCTCTAACAGATTTATTTTATCCTCCCACACCCCCCATTTTCACWACTCAGAGCTTAAACTTGAAACCTTTATTTGCACTGAATTGCCTTAAGTAATCACACCTCTTTCGACTGAGCCTTCTAGAATGAAATGTCAGCTAAGGTTTCTAAAACTGGCCATGCATGAAAAATTCTACTATGAAACCAAGTCATTAGGCTATGTCTCATMATGCACCAACTAGACTGTCAATTCATTTCTGTTTTCACAGATGTTTTCYAGTTGTGCCATATCTACCCTTTAAACATTGTTTCAGAGCTCCAGCTCAAAATGAAGTCCAGAGTTACAAAGCAAGACAGAATTTATTGCCAGTATGGATGTTGAAGATGATAAAGACTTCTACACCCAATCTATTTGTCATGATATTTAGATTATTTGTTCAGATAGAAGAATTTTTAAAGTTCCATCTGTGTCTATGGTTCTAAAAGTGCCCTACAATTTTAGTTCTGCATTACCTTTTTTTCTCTAAGTTTATCAGGGGAAAATGAAAGTCAGGATATTTTTCACAGCTGGTACCAAACAGATTGTTAGAAGTGACAGCTGCTTGCCCTCAAAGTGTTGCACTTTTGCCCTATAAAACTGTAGGAGTCATGGGCAATAACCCGGGCTGGTGAACAATTCTGTTTTCTCACAAAAACAAAAGGCTGGAGAGTCACGGTATTACRCACCATGATATTCACAGGTCTGTACTGATGCTCTGAAGCAAAATTTTCAGCAGCATGATTCAAGGTAAATAATACTTTGGCAGAATATTCTGGCTCAATTTGTTTGGTGCATATCCATGTCAGCTGAGAGAAAGAAAACACTTAAATCAGTGGGTGAAATRTTAGCTTAGAACAAATACTTATACRCTCTCAGAAATGATACACAACATCTCTTATGCAAGAGGTAAATCCTTTAAGTTTTACTGGGTGTGTAGGACTAAAAGATGACCAACCAATTGACTGCATATGGTTCAACAGCTGATTCCTTTGATCTGCTGAAATCTTTCCTGTTACCATGCTAAAGGAAACCTAGTATTTCTAATTTTAATGAATGAGAAAACTAAGATTATTAGATTATCTGAACTAAARTTATAAAATCTAAATACTTTTTAGCAACAATTACAAATTTTATAGATAGTGTCTAGTTTTGAAGAGGTCAAACTTTAATGACACCTCCAAAAAGGAGCCAGATTGTCTTAGCATTGTTGGGAAGGCTAAAGTTGGAAAGTAACACTGCTGTCACAAGTTGTGTTCACCGAAGAGGACAAAGAAAATCCAAGGCASTAGCATGATGCCAAAGACAGAAAGGAATCACAGACCATGTCAGAAAGTCACTGTGAAAATTTGTGTTTTGTAACTTCTGCTCCACTCCTCACTTCCTACCAATATGAGCATGCTGCTTTACATTCTTCACATATCATAATTAATAATTAATCCTTTTTTTAAAGTAATCATTAACTAGTGATCAGTCATGTTTTCATGACATGTCTTGAATTACTCTCTTGCTAATTTATGCTTCCTTGCAATTGCCATGACTTAGAAAGCCCTTGATTACTTGTTTCTTGTAAATATTTTCTTCAAAATTAGAAATTTGTCTCAGCGCAAAAGTGAAGTGTGAAATGTAATATGACAATATGCCCCATCCTACCTTCAGTAACCATGAGAGATGGTTAATTTTGTTTCTTAATATAAGATGATTTATAAATGTGGATGTCCTTCGTCTGGAAACTGTCACAACAGTGAAGATTAGGTTGGCAATGCTGCATTATCAGAGGCAGCAGTTATTCAGCTAAGGCAAAAATAAACTGCAGACTTAGCCTTAATTAAGAAATAGATAAAAATTCACTTGTATTTTTGAAATTCCTAAAATGAGGCAAATTATAAACTCAGCACTTGTTCAATTATTTCTATTCAAATAAAGAATTATTTATGAAAAATAGAAAACCAAAATATTTTATAAAGTTTATAGAAAGTTTTATTTCTGAACTTCACCTAATTTTCTAATTTCAGGGAACTTTTGAACCACTCTAATACAAAAGAAATTAAAACTTTGTTTTAAAACAGGAGCAAAGAAAAAACCTACAAATTCAGATTAATTTTCTGCTATCAGACCTTTTGAGATTCTCTAAYCCAGTGGAGAAATTATGTCTCAGAAAAATATGTATTTTAAAGAGATAATGAGAACAAAAGAAACACATATCAAAACCATTTTGCAGTCCTAAATCATTCTTTCAGAGAATGAAATAATTAATTTCTTCTTCATACYGGCTTGTTGGAATGCAAAGTCGATGTCCTTTTTTCAAGAGTAAATTGTTATTTACAGAGCAAAACTTGATAGTTAAACTGTATGTTAGAAAACATCTCCCCAGAGAAAACAATCAAGTTTGTCAGCATTCCACTGAGAGTCTTTAAACAGACTAGTTCATGAACTTACTGGACAGCAGAAAAAAAGTCAAAAACCAAGATACA